ACACACACACACACACACACACACACACACACACACACATTGTTTAGTGCCAGTGACTCCAGTCTGAGTTCCGGTCTTAGTCCTGATCTGGTCTCGTCCGGACCCGGAAGTGTTGTGGCTCAATGTGACGCTTCGCTTTATCTACAGTCTATGATCTGAACGTTTAGCTTTAGCTTCTGTTAGCTTCATGACACGGAACGTTCCGGCCTCACAGTCTGTGTTTCACACGGACCCCTCCGCTGTCCGGACCGGACTTTGAGCTCTGGGGCTCGTTAGCCGGATCCGTTCAGTCAGCTGAGTAGCTAAGCTAATAGGCTAACTGGTTAGCTTGAGTAAGCTATAGATATTAGCCGCCTCCGTGCTGCTCATGCCGGCGATGCTGGAGAGAAACCCGGAGGCTCAGGGGAAGAGGAGAGGCAGAGCCCCGGCGAGCGGTGGCAGCAGCGGCCCCGGAGCAGCAGGAAACCCCAGCGGGAAGAGTCTGTCCGGTAATGGAACCAGCACTAACAGCTGTTGGGAAGAAGGAAGTTCAGGATCCAGTAGCGACGAAGAGCATGGTGGGTAGCCTCGGTCACGGCAGTGCTGTTGTGTACTGCGTGTACTCCGAATACTACTACTGAGTACTGTTGTGTACCGTGTGTGCAGGTGGAGGAGGGATGCGGGTCGGACCGCAGTACCAGGCCGTGGTTCAAGAGTTTGACCCGGGTAAGAGACAACAGGCAGCTCGTTAGTGGTAGCCTCGAACAATGTGAGCTCTAAACGACATGATCCTGGTTCCAATTTTCAGTTTTAATTCTCTGATCCTGGTTCTATTTCTCTGATCCTGGTTCCACCTCTCTGATCCTGGTTCAAATTCTATGATCCTGGATCCACTTTTCTGATAATGGTTCCACCTCTCTGATCCTGGTTCCCTGATCCTGGTTCCCTGATCCTGGTTCCACTTTTCTGATCTTTGTTCTATTTCTCTGAACCTGATTCCATCTCTCTGATCCTGGTTCCACTTTTCTGATCCTGGTTCCACTTTTCTGATCCCGGTTCCACCTCTCTGATCCTTGTTCCACTTTTCTGATCTTGGTTCTAATTCTCTGATCTTGGTTCTAATTGTCTGATCTTGGTTCCACTTTTCTGATCCTGGCTCTAATTCTCTGATCCTGGTTCCACTTTTCTCATCCTGGTTCTAATTCTCTGATCTTGGTTCCACTTTCTGATCCTGGTTCTAATTCTCTGCTCCTGGTTCCACGTGTGTTGACCATGTCAGGTCTGTTTATAACAGATCTCTCTGATTGTTGTTTTGCTGATACCGTCCATTCAGGGATCAGCCCTTATCAGCCGGTACACCAGATCAGCTGTTGCACCTGTGTCAGGTAGTGGAGTCGGAGTATTAGGAACACCTCTGAATGTGTGGCAGAGAGAAGAGTATGGAGCAAATCTAAGTCAGAACAAACGAAACATGTTTCACAAACAAAAACACTACTTGTCTCTAATAAACGATGCTTCAGAAACAAATGGCCACAGGTGATGAAGAGGATGTAGCTGATGATGCTGTTATTTATCGTGTGTGTGTGTGCGTGTGCGTGCGTGCGTGTGTGTGTTTTTGCGCGCGTGTCAGACGTGGCTCAGGCGGCTCAGCTCAGAGAAAACCCCGGGATGTTGGTTTGGATTCCAAGCAGCTGTCTGAACCAGACTCAGTGTAAGAAACTACTCTCAAATAAACAGTTAAAATATAAAACACAAAATATAAATTATTAACGTGTGGATGGTTTTTAATGCAGTGGACGAATACATCGCCATCGCCAAAGAGAAACACGGCTACAACATGGAGCAGGTAAAGTTTTCTACTTTGACTCTGTTGGTGTGAATCAAACCTTCAGTCAGAACCAGTACAACTTGTTTTCAGGCGTTGGGGATGCTCTTCTGGCACAAACACAACGTTGAGAAATCTCTGGCTGATTTGCCAAACTTCACCCCGTTTCCTGACGAGTGGACGGTGGAGGACAGAGTCCTATTTGAACAGGCCTTCAGTTTTCATGGCAAGAGCTTCCACCGCATCCAGCAGATGGTACGTCAGCAGTTAGAGCAGTTTATTGCAATATTTATTTTATGTAGAATATATACCTGCTTTTAATGTGTGATGTATGTTGTGTGTTTTATGTTTTTAGTGTGTAGCTTTTTATGCTAATGTTAACATTTGTGAAGTGTCCTTGAGTACTTTGGAAAGAGCTCTTTTAATAAAATGTATTATTTTATTGTATTGTATTATACCTGTTCAGATACTGAGACCAGCGTCATCTTTAATCTCTTTATTCTTTGTGTGAAGTTACCGGACAAGTCAATGGCCAGTCTGGTTCGGTTTTATTACTCATGGAAGAAAAGTCGCAGTAAAACCAGTCTGATGGATCGACAGACCAGAAAACACAAGAGAGAGAGAGACAACAGGTGAGCTGACAGCTGCACCAATCACTGCACAGGATACAGATCTGAAACCTGGATCCTGTGCTGTGATTGGTGGATTCAACTGTGAACGTTTTGTGTTTCAGTGATGATGAAGAGGCTCACAGAAATAATCTGAGTGACTCTGAGTTAGACCGAAATAAAGAGGACAAGAGGGAGGTGAGATTGTTTACTGACTTTATTTAAAGTTTACTGACTTTATTTAAAGTTTACTGACTTTATTTAAAGTTTATTGACTGTTTATTTAAAGTTTACTGACTTTATTTAATGTTTACTGACTTTATTTAATGTTTACTGACTGTTTATTTAATGTTTACTG